AAGCCCACTTCACTGATTAGCCCACAATGCTTGTTTTCAGAGTGGAAGCTACAGGTGCTTGGCACTTCTGAAAAAATAAAAAGTAAAAATCAAGCCCAACATCACAGCAGTCACCCAAAAAGCCAGCATCTTCTTGGGCAAGCACTCCCAGTGGTTCTTTCCATTCCCACCCCAAACTACCCACAAATCCAGGTCTGGTGCCCATCCTGCTGCTTCCTTCTTGATTTCCCTCTTTCCCTTCCTCCACTTCACATCTTGGTTTTTATTTATTGTGAGAACAAAGTTAATAAATGCGGTTACTATGGAAATGCCTCTTCTATGATCTGCTGTGCCCTCTCCCACTTTATCAGTTAGCTCCCCAGGAAAGAGCTGTTCTCAGGATTCCCTGTTTCATTCACTGTGCACCACGTTAGATGCTCTCTTCACATTCAAGAAAGGCAAGCCTAGGTTCCACCTACATTTAATTAAAAAAAAAACTTTGGGCCAAGATAAAGCTGCAGTCTAACAGATGAACATCAAGGCTAGGGAAAAACAGGTTGGAGTTGCTTCCTCCACCATCCCTAAAGCAGCAGCTGCCAAAAATAGGTAATGGGTTTTTTTGCCCCCTCTTGACAAACAGTTAATTTGGATGAAAGCACAGTTTCACATCAAGCCAAACTATTGGTGACTTTAAATAAAAAGTTAGTTAGGTAGAAAGCAGGCTGTCAGGGGGAAAGAGAAGGGATCGCTTTGGAACCACATGAGTTAGCACCAGGGAACTCACCAGTTTGCAAACCCCATGAGACATTCCAGTGTGGCTTCCCCATCCTCTTCCTAGAAAGGCTAGACCCAGGCAGAGCCAAAGCACCGTTGTCTCCATCTCAACAGCAGTGCTCCTGCTAAGAGAGAAACCCAGGATAAGACCACACTTGAGAGGCCTGGCCTGCCTTTATCCCATGGGAAGGATTATTTTAGGGTCCAGCCAGTTCTCAGGAAACACAAGATGGCATGGTCACTGCTTCACAGAACTCTGCCTCAAATACAGTCTTACACTGAATCACAATGTAGGTTCAGGCCCTGAATACTTTGACCTGCAGCTGGCTCTGCTCTGTGAAAAACTCTTATGAGGCTGCATGCACATTGGGCCTAACAACTCACTATCACTTCCTTTGTTTTCTGGGCTAGGGGGATACATAAAAGTGGGGATGGAGCAGGTGGGGCATCAGTGACACCCCAAGCTGGTGGAATACTTCCTAGAGGGTTAATACAGAGCAGCAAAACATAGGGGATGTTCACAAGGTAGGCCAAATACCTGGGTACAAGTTCAGCACAGGTAAAGAAGCAAAGTAAATTAGCTACAGATTGCTGGTACCTGAACTCAGGTATGCCCACACCTCCCAGCAGCTGCTGCTCTGATTATAGTGGATATTTACATATAGGGGGCTCCATGGAGGCCAGACTTTGGCCTGAGACCCACTTAGGGACTGAAGACACCTTTCTCCCCCAGCTTCCTCTGATCTGACAACCTGAGCCTCTTTCATAGCCTCATCTTACTTTTTGCTGAGAGGCCATCTCCTACAATGTGCCAGCACATTCCTAGCGCAAAGGGATCTCCCCCCCCCCAACTCCCCTCCGACCAGACCCTACTGTAATGCAAGCAATAGAAATTCATTCAGGATCAGTTCACAGGACCAGCGAGTGTGCAGTGACACACCATGTTGTAACGTTAAGACATGAAAACCCTTCTCAGAGGAACCACAGCACCTCATAGAACAGATGTGTCCATCCACCTGCAGCGTATCATAAAGAAGTTTCCTTCCAGAGAAGCAGCAGAATCCCACACATGAACAGTTCCCTTTATCTAATGTCTTATTAACAAACAAAGGGCTGGATTTTCAGAAGTGCTGGGTGTCCACCAAACCAAGCCCCAAATTATCCTGAAAAATCAGGTCTTTCACCAACAGTCCAGTGGTCCATATCAGTGGAACCTACTGCCTTTTGATAAAAAGTAATGGGTTGATGATGCCATCTGTTTATAGCATTTTCACTTAAGAGAAATGCAAACCTAGGGGGCAGGATATGTAGCACATTTACACTGGTGCAATTTACTTTGTTTTTCCACACTGGCATAAATAGCACCAAGATCCAAAGCAGACAGATGATCAGCTATCCCACAGGTAGCAACACACAGTAGGCAGCTATATATGAGCACCTTACGAGTAGGCAGTAGGGAAGCACATAGAAGTCCATCTGTCTTGAGCAAACAGTTATCCCAGAATAGCTGCAGACACACACCACTTATGCTGTTTTCCCCCAAGGTAACTGCATCTGACCGGAGGCCCTGGTGGCAATGGTGGGGCTGCTCGTGGCAAGGTAGCTCCTATAAAATACCACAAGGTTGCAATATTTCTTTTAAAGAGAAAAAGTAGCAGAAGGGTCAAAAACCCCACTTAGCTAAGCAGGGAAGTTGCAGCCCTCCTACAGAAAAAGAAAATAGGCATACAAACTATGGAAGCTTGGGACAGCCTCTAAGGAAGACTACTTGACAATGACCCGCACTTGTAAAAAACAGATAAGGCAAGCTAAAGCAGAAACCGAACTAAAACAAGCTACAAGAATCAAGGACAAAAAGAAGTCCTTCTTTAGCTACATAGGGAGTAAAAGAAAAACTAATGGGAGTGTGGGGCCGCTGCTTGATGCCTCAGGATACCTGCTCACTACCACTCAGGAAAAAACATAACTCCTAAATGACTACTTTGCCTCAGTCTTTCACAAGACCAAGGGGAACAACATGCCAGGTAGGGCACAGAGCAAGCAGGGTAGGATTAACACCATTCCCACCATTGCCATAGAACTGGTGTATGATCAATGAAAGACATTAGACATATATAAATCAGCAGGATGAGATGAACTCCACCCAAGAGTGCTGCAAGAGTTGGCCAAAGTAATCGCAAGAGCCCCTGGCAAAGTTCTTCCAAAAATCATGGGCCTCTGGAGAAATCCCAGAGGACTGCAAGATGGCTATTGTTGTGCCCATCTTCAAAAAGGGAAAGCATGAAGACCCAGGAAACTACAAGCCAATTAGCTTAACTTCTATTTCAGGGAAAATCCTAGAAATATTCATCAAAGAGGCTATATGTGACAAACTTGAAGAAGGCTTGATACCGAATGACAGCCAGCATGGCTTCGTTGCAGGCAGGTCTTGTCTGACCAACCTCATTTCTTTCTGTGATCAGGTGTCTTGTCACCTGGGTGAGAGAAAAGCTGTTGACATCATATACCTTGACTTTTAGGAAGGCTTTGACCGTATCTCATAAGGTACTGATCAGAAAACTGGAAGATATTGAGCTCAACTGCAGGACTGTCAAGTGGGTGCAAAACTGGTTGCAGGGTAGGACACAGAGAGTCCAAATGAATGGATTGGTGTCATCCTGGCAAGATGTGGGCAGCAGTGTACCCCAGTGGTCAGTACTTGGCCCGGTGCTTTTCAATATCTTCATCAATGACCTGGATGAGGGGGTGAAAAGTCCATTGGCCAAGTTCATGGACGATACCAAGATATGGGGTTGTGCAGACATGCCCACAGATAGGCTGCAGATACAAGCAGACCTAGACAGGCTGGCACGTTGGGCAGAATGTAACCAGATGAAGTTCAATGTAGAGAAATGCAAAATGCTGCATCTGGGAAGGAAGAACCCCCAGCACACCTACAGGCTGGGCTTCGCTAACCTAACCACCATTACAGTGAAAGGGATCCGGGGGTAACAATATGAATATGTGCCAGCAATGTGACGCAGTAGCCGCTAGGGCCAATATGAGCCAGCAATGCGACGCAGTAGCCGCTAGGGCCAATAAAACTCTGGCATGCATCAATCGATGCACCCCCAATAAATCCAAAGAAGCAATTCTCCCACTTTACTCAACATTGGTGAGGCCACAGCTGGAGTATTGCATCCAGTTCTGGGCGCTGCACTCCAACAAGAACGTACTAAAGCTTGAGAGGGTCCAGAGAAGGACCACCTGCATGATCAGAGACTTGCATGGCAAGCTATACAAGGAGAGGCTGAGGGATCTCAGACTCTTCAGCCTAAAGAAAGGAAGGCTGAGAGGGGACCTGATTGTGGCTTACCGCTATATCAGAGGCATACATCAGGGGCTCAGTGAACAACTGTTCACCAGGGCACCCTGGAGGAAAACTAGAAACAATGGCCACAAACTCCTGGAAGACCGTTTCAGGCTAAATGTTAGGAAAAACTTCTTTACAACTAGGGTGTCCAGATTATGGAACAAGCTCCCCCCAGAGGTGGTGCAATCATCTACCCTAGAGGTGTTCAAGAGAAGACTAGCTGGTCACCTGGCTGGGGTCGTCTGACCCAGATGTCTTTCCTGCTCTTGCAGGGGGCTGGACCCAATGATCCTTCAGGGTCCCTTCCAGCCCTATGATTCTGATTTTAACCTCCAAAGTAAGGTGAGTATAGGGCACCTCTGAACCCTAGCCCTCAGAGCCTTGTGGGTACTCCTTGGTTGAAGCAAGACTAAAGGACATCACCCTGGCAGAAATGCACCCTCACTGAAGCATTAGGCAGTCAGAAGCAGCTCTAATATGCTGTTTTCTGGCAGAACCTACAACCATTGAGGCCCTGAATGTCTGAACTCAGTCTGGCCTCTGTACTCTGTCTCAGTGGTGTAAAGGGGAGATGGTAGATCTAGGGCACATACCATTCTTCCATACTCTTGCCCCAGTGTATACATTAAAGGTCTTGGTGTGATGGTCACAGGACTTCATAAGAGGCATAAGGAACCTGAGCCAGCTATCAAGGTGTTCAAGCAGGCGTCTTCAGGGGCCTGCTTGCCTCTCTTGAGGAAGGCCCTAGAAAAGGTGGGCCAAAAGAGCTATGCCTTAAACTCAATCTATCCTGGCCAAAATGAAGTCTACACCAGATTCAAGTAAGTTACACCAGCACTGAGCTGTATGTCATTAATCCATCCCTTTTTGATGCCAGTGTAAAGATTGATTAGACCAGTGTAAACAAGTCAAGTGTCCAAGTCCCTGGGCAAATAATCACAGATGCTTGCCCATGCTACTCTACAGAGGGGCTTTCTGAGCAGAGCGTTCATAACTGTTAACATTTCTGAAAGAAACCAAGGTTTCTCTTTGGCAGTCAAAGTGGGTGAATTGGGGCTGCTGGCAAACATTAATGCAACTGTGCAACTGGGGATCTGAGGAATTTTATGCCAGACATACTTGGCAGGTCACACAGTTATGGAAATAGGGCATAAAATGATTCGACTCCCAATCATGTGACTATCAGTATGGGGGGCAGTGAGGGGATCACCTGCTGGATTGCAGAAAGCTCTGTTTCCTATGCACTGCTTCCACAGGTGCCTGGAAATGCCCACCTGCTTTTCTGAGTTTCATGGGAGCTGTATGCCTGATATCAGGCTTGCTCACCCCACTTGAAGAGCCACCCAGCACGTACAATGTGTGCAGTTTCCTTATAACCTGCTTCTTGTGTCGGCTGCCTCTTAACTGGTACATGCAGCTGGGAGTGGAAAAAGCTCCCTCACCCTCAGCTGTGCACCCATTTTAAGCTGCACCCGACATTCTCTTAGGAAAGAGCATAGGGGCAGGCAGGTTCAGGACCCAGAGCTGCCTCCAGCCCAATCCCACCAACTGAGCAGAGGACAGCTTTGCCCCAGACCCCAGGCTGCCCATGCTGAATCCTGATGTTCAGCTGAGCTTTGAGATTTGATATTGGACAGCCCCGGTCTTGGTTCAGACCCAGGGCTATCCTTGGGATCAGACAGGGGAGGGTTGCATCCCTGCCACAGGAGCTGTCCCATGGTATGAGGCTCACCAAAACCAGGCAACTTAAAGAGCGGAGGCTGCAGGGTAGGGCTGTTTAATGTGCTGGGTCCTGGCAACCCTACATCTTGATCAGCAATGGTCAGCATTGGGACCAGGACAATCAGTAATGGTCAGCATTGGGACCAGGGCAGCCCCATCCAGGTTCCAGACCTGGGGATGCCCATGTCCTGATACTGATAATCAGCTGATTATCATCATTGGGATGGTGAAGTATACCATGTTCAATTTGTGAAGCCATAAAAGCCAACCACAAAGACATTACGCACTTGTTGAGTGTCTGCTTTCCCATTTTATGGCACCATAAACAATAATGAACATGTGGCTTGATGCTATTTATGGCACAATTAACATGTTAATTGTGCCAGAAATGTAACGTGTACCTTGGGCCTGGGCTCCTGAGCAGAGCTGGGGAAATTTTCAAAGTTTTTTTTTTCCCCCCAAGGGATCTCCAAACCACCAGAATCAAAAAGCACAAACCCAGCTCTTATCACACAGGTCACTTGTTACGGTTTCCTGGGGTTTCCCCCCTTCTCTAATTTTTTTTTTGTGGGACAGATCCTTAGTTGGTGTAAACCAGTCATCCCACTTAAAGTCATCTACCTCAGCTGATGATGGGGCCTCAACTCCACTGGCACTGAGATACCATAGTAATAGGGGCTGCATAAAAACCCTATTGCAGAATAACTTGATGCCTCCTGATGGCAGCCAAGCCTGGCATCCTTATCCTTGTTCCCACCACACTCTCTACTACATTTAATCTTTTTTTAAATGCTTCTCTTTGTTTCTACATCTGCGTCATTCCCTTCTCAGGCAGTTTTCTCTCCTCCAAGTCAGTCACTCTCCCACTGTCAGCTTCTTTGCTGGCTAGGTTCCTTCTCCCTTCCTCACCTCCATGCCAGGCTCTGCCCACCATTAGCTCCCTGCCTTCCATGCCCAGCCTTCCACCCTCCATTTCTTCTCCTGTATTGCTCTGTTGGGATTCCAGGGGCACAGTGTGACTTCTGCAGCATCCTCCTGACACAGGTCAGAGGAGCATCCCACAGGGAGACCAGGAGACAAAAACAGACATAAGTGAGGGCTTTGTTGACATGGCCTGGCCTGGCCCTGTGCCCATCACTGCAGATGCCAGTCCTGCCTGGGGAGACCGTGCCATACCAGAGTGGTGCCCCACACAGGCCAGCGACTGAGACACCTCATCACTCACAGACCTCAGAAACACCCCTAAACCACCTCCACCCACCCGCCCAGATCCACAAGCACAGTGAGCCAGAGACGCCCTTTAGACAAATGACTTTCCAGCCTCACCAGGGGACCTAGGTGACCTCCCCCACATCTCACCCCTGAACACTGGCTTCAGTGTGGCAGAGTGCAGTGCCCAGGGATTTACTCACCGCTTGAGGTGGCGCGCGCAGCTCGCAGGGATTCATCTTGCGTGTGGCCACACTCCTGCACTCCCTTGGAGGCTTCACAAAAGGCAAAATTAGCTGCAACCAGGAGGTTTCTCTCTCTCTCTCGCTCACTTAGCACAAGGTTAATTTAGATCTTGCGGAAGGAACCAACGGAAATGGCAGTCACATGGACGCCATGCAAGCCACTTTGCTTACTGATCTCAGCACTTACACCAGGGTCACGCACTCGCAAGTCACTCAAGAAACAAAAAGGAACCAAGGGGGGAGGGGACGAGCTGGGCCTGGGGGAGGCTCTGAACTTCTGCGCTGGTGGCTCTGGGCTCCTCCTGGGGACAGGCTAGCTTCCCCTGCAAGCAGACTGCTCTGGTACTTGCCTCAGGACTGCTCTGCTTGGTCAAGGCCACAAGGATGCTGGCAAGGCACTGGAGGATCAAGCTGGACAGGGCTGACCCAGGGGGCCACGAGCCAATACTGGTTTCCCTCTGCTGTCCAGTGGGCATTGCCTGGCACATTATCCTCTTCAATCCCTACTCTGCAGGCAGACTGGTTACCTGCCTCACAGGTGTCCATCACTACCCACCTGAATGCTTCACAGATATGACCACATTTGTCACTGCGGCACTCCAGGGAAACAAGGGGCCACCACCATCCTCCTTGAACTGACTGAGATGCAAAGGGATTAAGGTGGAAAAACCTGTGCCAATATTAGGCATCTCAAAATGCGCACCTCAGACCCGGCTTTTTCAGAGTCCTTATAGCATCTTATCTGCCCCGAACACAGCTGCCTGTGTAACCACGAGTGCTCAGCACTTCTGCAAATCGGACCCCACGGTTTCAAGTCAGACTTTCGGCAAATGAGGAACACGCGGTCAGCAGCCACCTGTGCAGAGCTTGGTGTAGGTGACTTGCCTGGCAACATAAAGGAGCTCTGCAGCAGAGGCAGGGGTTGGCTCCCACTTGTTCAGCTTGCTTAATTGTGAGATCACCCTCTCCCTTTCTGCAGTGCCCTGCCCCATTTACTGCACACCTTCCAGCTTTGGCAACAAAAGAAATAGAGGATCATATGAGCAACTGTCCCTCTCGCCTGATTTGTCCTCCAGACAGGTCCATCCCGAATGAGACAGGGGTCACATGGAAAACTAGTCTGCTGCCATACGGTTAAGGATTCTCTCCTAATGCAGGGCTGTCAAACCTATGGCCCATGGGCGGGATCCAGCCCCAGGGGCTCCTGAAGGCATCAAGAATTCAGAGGCAGGGCAAAGGGGGGAGAGGAAGGGGAACACCATCAAATTCCAGGGTATGAAACCCTCCTGGGCATGTGTTTCAGCAGCAGCATGGTCAGCAACAGTTGTGTTAACCCCCATGGCTCCCTGCTACCACTCATTCTGCCACTGCTTGCCCTGCACTGGAGGTGGGTCCAGATCTAGCCTTCAAGTGAGTCCCATGGTCCAGACCTAGCCCAGAGCACAAATATTCTTGACACCTCCATCTTAATGTATATACACAAGGGCAGGGGAAACACCATTTATCTGGGTCCAAGAAGGCAGTTTTTCTTAAGCCTCCCAGGAATAACTGTTCTTCTGGTGTGGTTTAATAGCCGCTGAGTGTTGGGGCTTAATCCCCATTTTATGGAAATGGGAGGCTTCTCCCTAGCTTGTTCCTGCAGCCATATGGCTGAGGGCAGGCGAAACTTGGGGGTATCCGAACCCCAAGCCTCTAGGATTGGGCCTGTACATAGGATGCCTGCCAAAAGACTTTGGAAATATCTGAAGCCCCTGGTGGGGGTGGAGGATGTTTGCCACTTGTACAGCCACTTATGATTCTGGACTGACTCAAGGATTTGGACTCGATTTGGCAGATTTGGCTTGGAACACAAAACATTTCTTTAAAAAAAAAAAGTATATGCACGAAGTGGGCATGTGAATGTTGCACGGGCAACCTTAATTCTGGCATTTCTACATTTCTAGTTTCTGAGCTCTGGACTTTGCAACCTTTACAACCCTCTTTTAGTGCAGTGTGCACGTGTCAGAGATGTCCTGGTTCTCAGCAAGCAGACTGAAAAAACAGAAATCCCAGCACATTGCATCTCATTTTTATCCCTGTGAGTAAGCAGCAGGGCTGAGACCTTTAGATATAACCCCCACCACACACACACACACACACTCTCTCTCTTTCAACCTGTCTTTGGCTCCTCCCCCATTTTCTTCACTCATCAATTCCAGCCTCCACACCTCCAAATTCTCATGCCTGTTTCAGGGCTCACTGCAAGGACTGGTCCAAGTTAACACACGGGCATCACTGCAGTCCAGCTGGCCCTGTTCTGTGTGGATGTGGAGCAAGGGTGACCATGTTGAAACACCACACCCTCACTTTAGCAGAGCAATTGTGTTAGCAATGGATGGGTCACTAACTCAGGGTGAAGTTACACGTTACACTTAGACCATACTAAGGGTATTTAAAACATGAGCATCCTCATGTTAAAGCTTGTTAACTCATGCTACGCGCCCTCTGAACCTCTCAAAATGGCACCACTTCAGATGAGGGTTAACTCTGGGCTGTACTACCTATTTTGTGTTAGGGTAACTTCAGTCTACTCCACAGAGACAAAAAATGCAATTTGCAGTCCTCCAACACCTCAGGATGTACTACTTCCAAGACATCCCCCACCCCAAAGCGGGAATAGAGCCCAGGTGTCCTGGCTCCTAGCCATGCCCCTGCTTGCCAGCTCTCTAGCGGCAAGTCAGAGCACAGGCAAAAAATGGTGTTAACCCTTAACATGCAACTGCTCGTAGCACATTCTAAATTTAATGCCACTTATATTCCACAAATTTAGTATGGCCTAAATAACATTTAGCTTCACCCTCAATCTGCTGCACGTCCAACCCATTACTTGTGGAACTTAAACTTGAGCCAAGTCAAAACACAGTTAACTTCGCCAAGTTTTACCCAAGCCCAAGTTTTAGGAATAATAAGAAAGTAAAACTGGAAGGGACCTCAAAGTCATCCAGTCCCAGTTTCTACTTCCAGGTCTTCACCCAACCCCAGTTCTCCCTCAAGACCCTAGCTGCTGGAGTACTTTGGCTGAGGTTATAAATTTGCTGTAACATGACAGACTTGGTGCTTGTAAAATCTACTCCGTTATGTCAGCATTGTATAACTGCTGTACCCAGACCACTGGACGTGCTGATGGTGTTGCCAAAGCTCGGAAACCAGTTCAGCCAAGTTTTTCCAGCAGGAAGGGATTTGGAACAGTAGAAAAATTCCTCAGCAGCAGAAGAAAGGCACCAGGCAACAAGGATAGGATCTATAAACTCAATAGACTCCAGAACAAAGAGCAGGGGAGAGGGTTACAGGAAGAGCATGCTTTCATAACTGAGGGGCTTGTAAAGGTTAAAGGAAATAGATGTGGAGGAGGGCAAGAGATGTGTTTATACATGTGGTCCAGCAGTTGGGAGGGTGGGGGAAGGCACTTTAATTAGAGCAGCTCCAAGAGCCGCTGCAATTAAAGCACCCGGAGTGTCAGTGTCCCCATACTGAAAAATGCCGGCGGGGGCACTTTAACTGAAGCTCATCAAATAAGCCGTAATTAAAGCACCCTCGCCACCATTTTCAGCGCAGGGACACTGATACATGTGACGCTGGAGTCTGCTGGAGCACGGTAATGACCACACTCTGGTAGACTCCATTAATCAAGTCTGCTCTGACGCGTTGTAACTACAGCGCATTGGAGCAGCCTCACTGCACGTGTATTTGTGCCCTGTGGGAGGCCACGTACACAATGAGGTTCTGGATTCTTTATAGGATTCTGCCAAAGACTCTCCAGAGAGGTGAGTAAATGGAGGCAGAGAATTGAATGTGCATACAAGTGTTTATTATTTCATACACATCTTTGAGTTTCTCATGCAAGCTAAGTAGAATCTTGTGGTAGGATCTTCAGCAAAGTCTGGGTGCTGCCATCATAGACTTCAACTGCAAGCCCAGCCCACTCATCCAGCTGCACTGTGGCACAGGGTGTGCTTCACACTGCTAGAGTGTCTGGGGCATCAGCAGTGGTTTGGGTGTCCGAGGGCAGCCAGACCATAAGGCCCCATTTCCACTATGGGTAGCAGAGTCAGATCACCTGTGCCAGAGAGATCAAGGGAAGAAACAGTAGCCACCACCCACCTGGGTCCAGGGAAGCACACAGGACTAAAACTGAGAACCAGCACAATAGGCTTGCAAGTGTCCACCAGAAGGAGCTCTACAATGGCTGTGACATTCAGTCTTCCACCTGCCAGGAAAGGGCCCTAAACACTGAGCAATATAGTCAGCCTCTCTCTCCAGACCACTGAATTTTTCATTATTCATATAAAATGCCACAGCTGTACCAGGAGGGGCTTAAATGATACCCACCCCAATAGCCTGGGCATCAACACACTGCCGGGGAAGTACAAGGTTCATGTCTCTTGGTCTTCCTTTTTTGAGGCAACTGCCATGACCAAGCTGGGTCTTGGTCTTCCTCATTTGAGGTGACAGCACTGACCACCAGGCTCCTGGCTATTTTGGGATCCCTCTGCTCATAAATTTGACCAGAAGTTCTACGCTGGGCCAGAAAAGCCCTTCTCAGGAAAACTGCTCTTGAAACTGGCCCGTTGCCATGAGAAGTTTGGGTTTTGACGAACTTGGCATTTCCCTAAAACATATAAAAAAAAAAAATCCTGACCAGTTCTAATTCTAAAAGCAAGCGTCATAACAGTGAGGTTACAAAGATGATGCCTTCCACCCTACAGTGAGCAGCACCTACATTGCTACAAGGGCTTGTAAACTGGTGTTGTGTGCCAAACTTCTGTTCTCTAATGGGTACGGACTGGTTTCTACTTTTACTGGTGTAAGTGACTGGAGCATCTGTACCTGGCCTAGCTGGCTGCTTTCTTTTATAAGGAGTTAAACACAAATCACTGTTTTGTTCCTCATACTTAGCTTAGCCTGCGACTGCTTCTTTCCAAGTCCTGCAGAAGGACACTTTGTGTCCAGAAGCTTGCCCAGCATCTCTTTCTCAATTCTACAGCTGGTCTAATTCAAGGTATCACAAAAACCCCTCCTCTCTAATCCTCAGGAGGCATTTGGATTAAGCCTGCATCCACTTGTTCAGTTGTTCCTGTTATAAAGATCAACAGTGAAAAAAAACATCCCATTTGCACTGTCACTTCACAGTTCAGAGCCAGCAAACCAGT